GATTTACTTTATTTTCTTGACACTTGATATAACCTTTTATGAACGTTCCGATATCTTTTTTCATACTGGGCTATTTATAAAATTCCCCAATCTGTCGGTAAGTTTTGCTTAATCCGGGATGACCAGCAAGAGAGGTATAATGATTTTCCTTTAAAATTTCGGCAATTTATTTTTTTGTATTCGGTTTAGTTTTATCTGAGTCTACCAAAATGATTTTTTGATTATTATTAAATACGTAGAAAATTATTTCATTTAGAATATCGCGTTTAATAGTAGCGTTGTAAGATCTTGGATTTTTTAAGTAAAGAGTAGTATTTGGGTCAGTGATTTTCACCTTCAAGTTTTGAAGTGTGTAAAATATATCCTTAGGAGATGGTTTATCAAAATGATTCAAATGAGTTAGAACATATGTGATTGAAGTATCATTTTCTAATACTAATGTGTCATAAAGTTTTAAGTCGTCAACATTGATTTTATTTAAGTCATAATGAGCATTGGATTCATCAAAATCTTTTGAAAATAGCAATATATATGCATATATACATATAAAGCATTGATTTTCATGAAGTCCGGTTAAAACCGTATTCATTAATCTTTGGAATACTGCTGGTGCACATTTAAGACCAAATGGCATTCGGAAAAATTCATATTGTGAATTAGGCGTAGAAAAAGCAGTTTTTGGTGCATCTTCTGGATCCATTTTGATTTCGTGGAAGCCTGAGCCTAGATCCAGAACTGTGAAATAGGATGCATGTCCTAATTGGTCTAATATTTCATCAATATTTGGAATTGGCTGAACTTGGCCTACAGTGCGTCTGAAATCGACTACAATCCGCAATTTGCGATGTCTTGATGAATCAATTTTTTTAGGTACCACCCACAGTGGCGCATTATATGGGGAAACAGATGGTTGAATTATCTTCTGTTTCAACATTTTTTCAATTTGGTTTGAAATTTCTGATTCACGACATTTTGGAAGTCTATAAATATTGGAATGAATTGGGGTATCAGTAGTCGTATTTATTTTACATTGAATCGCTTGAGTGAATGTCAAGTCATCATTTGGTAGGTAAATAAAAAATATGGTTGAATTCTCGGCAAAGATTCAAAACTGACAATTTTATTTCAGAATAATTAAGATGTTCTAATCTTAAATTATTTTCTAACGTTGAAATGCAGTCAACCGTGTAAGAATCAGACGTTTTTTATAGCGTAGCATTAGGAATGAAACAGTGATCTTCGTGGAATTTCTCGAGTTCCACGTTGATAAAGTTTACTTGCACGGCTTTTTCCAAAGTGTTTACGATTGCAGCTACAGCAGTATTGTTTTCATCAACTTTTAAAATAGCTTTTGCTAAGTAAACTCCTTCTAAAATTACTGCATCGCATCAGTAGCCTTCTTTTATTTGGTTACCGTTGATAACCTTTATGCGTATTATGATTTCAGATCGCGGCTGTAGGAATATAATTACAGTTTACATTGTTATTGCTTGAGTTCGAGTTAAGATACATGCTTAATGGTAATGGAAAACATTTTAATTTCAGTTCGAGAGTTTTATAATTTAATTCAGCGTCCTTGGATTTCAAAAAATCGTTGCCAATTAATCCATCGAAATATTAGTTGATATTAGTGTTTTCAGAAATTATGTGAAATTCCTTCTTTATAGTAGATAATATTTTGCAATTTTATCTGTAAAATTGTGCTGCCTACAGTTTTTACAGCTGCACTGGGATTAATATCGTTTAATGACATTTCCTCTGAATGATTATAAAGCAAACTGGTATGTTTCAGTCTATAGGTTTTAATTAACGAAACGTTAGAACCAGTAACATGAGTTTGAAATTAAAGAGATTTCCATTTATATCGAGATGAGGTAGATAAATGTAGCAGATATTATTATTAGAGCTAATAGTATATGAGAATGCGTTCGTTTATGTAGATAGTTGGTTTTGAGTTTGATATTGGTTTTCAGATTGAGATGTGCCATTTCGTTTATTCAGTCCAGTCACTGTGAACTGGTTGGCGTATAAAGACTGATTTTGCTGATTATTTACATTGGACATTGAATTTCTTCTTTTATTATTATATTTCCTTTTGCGACATTCAGTAATAATATGCCTTTTTTTCTTACAATAGTTACAGAATTTCTTGTTATAATTCGAATTAGTAGAAGGATCTGGACAGGAGTTTGTTTTTGGAGGTGTGTTAGATTTAGAAGTTTGCCCTTGTGCTGAGTTAAAATGAACGGTGTTTCGACTTTTAAAATAACACTCTTTGAATGAATGACCTTTCTTTCTACAGAAACTGCAATATTAAAAAAAAAAAAAAAAATTGGAAACAACTGGTTCAGTAATCTATATTGAGTGTATAGATAGGTAGATATGGGTAGGTAAATTGAATGAAAGAATGTTACTGTTTAATAATATCTAATTTGACTAGTTTTAAAAAATTATTAATATTTGAATAGTTTTATTATTTAGTAAACTGTTTTTTTTCTTCTTCTTACTGTCGACTCATTTTTTTGTTGTTACATATATGTTGTTAGAAATTATTCTTGTTGTTGCTCTTGGTGTTAAAATACTGTTAAAATACTGTTAACTATAGTGGGGCCACCGAAGAAATATAGTTGTAAAATGATTACCTGCTAACCGACGCCCATAAATTATCCCGCAACCCTCTGAAGAACAGATCATTTCATAGTGGAGCGCATTTAGTTGATGTTGTTCGTCTGTGACATTGTGCTGTGATTCGAATTGTGCTATTTTAGATTTTTTTTTTTGCGATTCAATTTGTTTTTTTTTCCATGGATCCTAATGATGGAAATTTATCTCCACCAAGAAGACGGAGGAAAAGACATTTCTCAGTGTCTGAAAAGGAGACAATCCTAAATACCTTCAAAACTTGTGACCGAAATCATGCAGATTTTACAAAAACTGAGAAAGTGAATTTCACAGCAGAGGCCATGGGTATTGGAGTAGCCAGCGTTTACAACGTTCTTCGGGAACACAAAAACGACCATGAACTGAAGCCAGCCAAAGCTTACAAAAAAAAAAAATCTGTTTTGGACAATATAGATATGGAAACAAAAAAATCAGTTCGGAGATTAATTCATTCATTTTTTATCAAGAACGAGTCTCCTAGTGTAAAGGCAATATTAGCAGCTATTCAAGAGCGAGAGGACATCCCTAATTTCAAGAAAAGCTCGTTTAAAAAGTTGCTCCGTGAACTTGGTTTTCGGTATGGTAGAAGAAGTCGAAATAGCATGCTAAAAGAAAAAAATGAAATTTGTGAGCTGGAGGCGTTGCTATTTACGGAATATCCGAGCAGTAAGGGCGAGTGGAAAAAAGATTTATTATCTGGACGAAACCTGGATTAATGCTGGCCATGTCACTCCAAAAGTATGGAGCGACGAAACTGTCACTACGGCGAGGCAAGCTTTCGTAAATGGACTATCTACAGGACTGAAGAATTCCACAGGTAAAGGACAAAGACTCATTATATTACATATTGGTTCAGACGATGGATTTGTTGAGAACGGCTTGCTCCTCTTTTAGTCAAATAAAACTGGAGACTATCACGAGGAAATGAATTTCCAAGTCTTCGAGCAATGGTTTGAAATTATTTTACCTCGCTTGGAAGAAAATTGTGTCATAGTGATGGACAATGCATCTTACCATTCTAGAAAAATTGATAAGAAACCGACATCATCTACGAAACAAGCTGATATACAATCCTGGCTAACTAGGAAAATAATAGGCTTTGAAGAGGATATGGTGAAGGCAGAACTATTAACACAGATTACAGATGCGAAAGTACGTATACTTGTCGTCGACGATATTCTGTGACGAAGCCGGGCCGCCAGCGCCCTGACGCATAGATAAAGATCGCCCGCGTCAGGACAATTAACGTGGCCAAGTGCGTGAGCATGTTCCAGCCTGTGTGTTTACATATTTTTGCGGGTAGAAAAAAATATTTTTTTGCTGTTTGTGAACCAATTAAAGAAATAATATTATATTATTGAGCTTCCGCATTTGTATAATAAATATGTTCAAAATACATTGATGTGGCATTGGTGCGGCCAGCCTATGTCTATCAAATTAATCTTGAACCACGAATTCGCAGCTCTTTCGCATCTGTATGTAAGTATTCGGTGCTATTAACGCTCGTAAACGAAAGTTTTCACAAGAACCAATACGTAATTGATGAAATGGCCAGAGCTTGCAATAGAAAAGTCGAAAGATTACCTCCGTACCACTGCGAATTAAATCCTATTGAGTTGATATGGGCACAAATCAAAGGAGAAGTGGCCCGAAAAAATACAACCTTCAAAATTGCAGATGTTAAAAATGTTTTTGATGAAGCAGTCTACAACGTTAGTCCTGAAAATTGGAAAAATGCTGTTGGGCATGTGCTGAAAGTGGAGGCAAGTATGTGGACTATGGATGCTATGATGGAAACCAGAATAGAGCCCCTGATTGTTAACTTTGATGGTGATGAATCATCATCATCGTCATCCGACTCGGAATAATTTCTCCGCATCCGCGTTTTCATGTTTAGCTTTTTTCCTAATAAATTGCATTTGTTATTAAATTAGGTAGGTAGTCACCTATACATTTTATCCAAATCGCTCTTTTAATATTAAACAAATTTTCTATGCCAAAGAAACAAATTATGTGATTATAGTTAAATACTTATAAATATATTACTCATTATTATAAATAATAACATTTGTTTTATTTAAAATCGAGTGTTTCTCAATCTCAGCATACACATAAATTTGTAATTTTTTTTTTCTATTTATCCCTCAGTAATAAAATAGGTACCCATCTTACCTATAAGATAATTTATGTAAAATTATAATAAATATGTAAACCAAAGTTACCAGCAACAGGTAGGTATACAAAATATTTGGTGGACTTTTGGGCGGTCATGAAATTTTAACCTTTTAGGAAAAACATTTGGTAGGTCAAAGGTTTTAGAAAACAATTTCTAGAAGTTTAAAAAAAACAGTTGGAGTACACCATAATTATTATATAAAATCATCATTTTACCTGAGCAAGAAATTACTGAGTACCTACCTACATTCTCGAAACTAGAAAATTTATATTCCATAATGAGTTAATAATTATATAGGTTACCTGAATTAGAGAATACTTAAAATCAGGTATATAGATTTTCATTGTAATTTTAACCCAAAATAATTTATTGGAATCGCATTCATGCATATACTCACATACTGATAAAATGAATTCATGCTTTTATTAAATTTGATTAATCACGAGAAGGTATAAAGTGGGTGAAAACCCGCTCGTCTATTGCCTGTCAGACCCCTCGAAGGTTTAGCGCCCGGTTTTATTGCTATATTTCTTCGGTGGCCCGACTATACACTGTTTCATACCTGAGTGGAAGAACGCGGTTCTTGTTTACTATGTAAACAAGAATGCGACTTCTGACATTTATCGCAGATCATCGATTATTAGCGAGTAGGTAAGAATATTTGTAACTTTATTTTGTAATCTTTATTTGCTATTATAAAAACGTTTAATAATAATAATAATAATAATAATAATAATATATTAGGACCTAAAAATAAACATACACGAATAAAGAAAATGTTTTTAGACAAAAGAAATTCTAGAAAAAAATCGAAATAGTTTCTAATCCCTAATAAAGTTCTTTTTCCCTGGGACAAAACAATAGGTAATAAGTGCGTTAATAAATTTGCTTGTTAGTGCTTAATTTCTATTCTATTTGCAAAATCTCTCATCACAATTGACTTATTTCATACTATTTTAAACGTTGTAAATCTCAATTATGGTTTCTCTAAAGTAGGTGAGAGTGTTGAATAATTAAATGCGATATCAATTTTCCCTATCGCATGCAGCATTTGCTGGCCAGTCACAAACGTTCTTCTTAGCATTGAAATGGAGTCCATCAGGACAAGGATGGTATATAGCCTCGCCATTCGTGCATTTACAAAAAGCACTACAGTTTGAAAGCGGGATGTATAAAGGATGGTCTCCATCCGGAATTGGACAGTACATCGATACTAGAACACAAAATTGTAAATTTGACTTTATAGAACTGAGCAGCGACATCAAAATTAAATAAGTCGCTATAAAAGTTTGTGAGATGATATTTACTTACATGCTTTACATGAATCCGATGGTAGTGGCGGTAAACCAGTACATTTAGCATTTCTAGGATGATCACAAACTTTCTCTACAGGATTAAAGTGAAGACCAACACTGCAAGAACGGTAGAAAATGCGGCCATTGCCACATTTACAGAATGCACTGCAATTTGGATGCGGAATATATATTGGATGATCATCGTCCATTTTTGGACAAAGAGACTCGTCTGAAATAAATATGAAAAGTTAAAAAATTAACTCATGAGCGTGAAACTTGATGAAAAATCTGCAAGCATTTTGCTTGTGAAAAGATCAATCTGCAAAACTCTAAATATGCTAATAGGTATAAAATTATATCATTGGTAAAAAGTTGCTCTAGTTTCGCCATTACAAAGCAAAATTCACTTTATTTGTTTTTGTTACAATATTAAAGGACATTTTTGTTCAAAAATGCCATAACTAAACCAAATTTCCAGGATCCATTTGTCAATTAACAGACCTGCCGTTCATCCCGATTAATTTATTTGTAATAGCGTTATTCATGGTTTTCCAAATTTATCCAATTTTGTTATAGGGGTAAAAAATTGAAAAAGAAACACTTTTTGCAACAAAAACTTTTCGATATTTTGAAAAACAGCATAGATTTCTGTGAATGTCACAGAAGTTGAACGGTATAGCGGATAGAAACCATCAGTCATTTTCTATGATTTCCAAAGCAAAAACTGTTCATATACTCTAAAGGACCCTGCACACCTTATATGGGATTTTGGCGATCGGTCGATTTTTTTCAAATTTTGATATGTTGTAGAGAATTTATTTCTTAACAACCTTTAAATGGGACGAAATCTTGTAGGTATTACGGTCTTTGAGATATGAGCGTTGAAAGTTGAACTTTTTTGCGACTTTTTGTGTGGAGAGTATACGAAATACTGGTGTTTATCAGTCAAAATATTGACAGGTTTACATATTTTACGTCACTAACAAATGTCAACATGGGCTAAGGCCAAGACCGCACTGGCTCCACCATTGACCCCAGTGCGGTCCCGGCCTTAGCCTTTGTTGACATTAATTGGATACTGACGTAAAATATGTGAACCTGTCAATAATTTGACTGATAAACACCAGCAGCACCAGTATTTCGTATACTCTCCACACAAAAAGTCGCAAAAAAGTTCATCTTTCAATGCTCATATCTCAAAGACCGTAATACCTACAAGATTTCGTCCCATTTAAAGGTCGTTAAGAAATAAATTCTCTACAACATATCAAAATTTGAAAAAAAAAACGACCGATCGCCAAAATCCCTTATAAGGTGTGCGGGGTACTTTGCATGTATGAAATAATTAAAAAAAAAAAAATTATGCGGGCTCAAGTGATCCCGTATTATAGCGAAGTAAGGGAAAAATATATGTTGAACCAAAACGAGGAAAGAAAAAAAAAAAAAAAAAAACATATTATCATCGCTAGTAGGATGCCCTCCATGAAGCCATTATACCCCAATGCTTAGAAGAGCTATAATACCAAAAATACTAGTGAAAAAATACAAAATAAAATATTTCTCACAAAATGCTTTGCATAAAATACATTTATAAATACTAAAGGGCCCGCATGGTGAGTATACCTTTATTAATATTGTTACGGATTCCGGGTTCACTGAAACGCACTCCACCAACAATAACATTATTGAACCTTTATTAAACAATTGACTTTATGAAATTCACGTTTCATTTATTGAAACGTACACGATAAATATCGGATCAAAACTAAAACTAAACCTATTACTACGCGCTATTTATAGTCGAAATCACACTCGGGATCTAGCTAGAAAAACATCGGAGCGAACATAATAGAATTTCCAGAAAGGGCGCACTGCCCGAAGTGAACAAGTACCTAATCTCAGAATCCTGGCCGGTTTGTCGATGCATTTTCGTAACACTGCCTCCCTCCTAAATTAGATTGTCCTGATCTGACCATTTATTCTCGTGATAAGCCTTCAACCTATCAAGATGACAAGTGTCTGGGGAACAGACAGACAGAGCTCCGAAAAATGCCGAACGATATCATAACCGTCGCTCCGCGCGCCACCCACGCCGAATAGACCACGGCCACCAAGATTGCGTGTAAATATTCGATAATTTAAATAAAAATAATTATATTAAGTGCAGAAAACCAAGCTCGGATAAAACGATCATTATTAAAATACAAGTTTAAATATGTATTTACTTATGTTGTTTATTATCGCCTATGGCCCTATGTTACAGGATTATTCCTCAGATAAATCTGTGGAGAGTGAGGGATTATTTCCGAGATCATCACAGGAATAATTTAAACAAACATTGCCTTCCGAATCACCAGCAAGTATATCAAACCCGTCAGAACAATTCTATCCCACTGCCTATACCTCATTCCAATTTAGTTAAGAGGTCTCTCATCTACAATGGTATTAAAATTTATAATAGTATAAGTCTGCAAATTAGAAACGCCCCAACACTAAAGGCATTCCGAAACCTGCTAAAAGCATTTTTATTGAAAAAAGCTTTTTACACAATTGACGAGTTTTTTGAACAGTCTTAATTTTAGTAGGTAATTATTGACTAAATAGTATTGTGTATACACTGTTTGTTAAAATTAACATTTACCTTGTTTGTTACATGCCTCACTTTTATTTATTTATTTTTATTATTTTTATTTTTTATTTTTATTTTTATTTTTATTTTTATTTTTGTTTTTGTTTTTGTTTTTATTTTTCTTTTGTTGTCTTTGATTAAATTTGATTCTAGGCTATTTCATTGTTTGACAAATTTATTGTTTAGATTTGAATAACATGTTGCAATTGTTGTTGGTAGGTTATTTTTAATTATGCTTTGTCAATAAGACCTATTACATGTAATATTTCTTGGACAATAAAGTACTTTTCATCATCATCATCAATTCTGAGTTATGAAAAAAAAAAATTGTATCTAAATTTTGAGCCTTCAAAGCTTCCGTACTTTCTAGTTTCTATACACCAATATCACGCCTTTTTGATGAAATTGCTGGATACAAAATATTAGGAACAGTAGGTAACGATATATTTTATAGAAAGGGTTCAATGGTTAAAAATTGAAAACAAATACCAAAATTAAATAGGTATGGCATATGCCCAGGTATATGTGTTTTCATTATAATTCAAAATTGTTGCATACAACACTCATTTTACTCATTTTTAAATAATATTTTGTCCAAAACTGATTGAAATATATACCTTACTTATAAGAAAATCGTGTATACATACGAGATTTTGTGAAAATTATACCTACCTAGTGTGGAAAATATCCTACACGGTACCAAAGTTTGATGGTACGTTCATAGAAAAAAAAAATTAATTACTTACCTATCTGAATGATACCGGTTTTTAATTATAAAACTATAATCATATAATTGACCTGAATTTAGAAAAAAACGTCTTTTCTCTCGTTCCTATGACGCTATATGACTAAATAATGATAAAATGTGAATAAAATACGTTCGGCGGACGGAACTTCGATGCCCTCCTCTTCGACCGCTTCGCGACACGCTGATGTTCGGGAAAGTTCGGAGCTCCGTCTGCCTGTTCCTCAGACTCTTGTTATCAAGATTTACCATCTTCATCTTACCCGTGTGACTAATACACCACGTCGCTTTGTCTCTTGGTAATCGTATACAAGCCTTCCAATACTGGTGTTAGTTTGGGAGATCTACCTTTTTTCCTTTGAGGGTTATAGAGCCAAGCCAAGAGCTCACCTTAGGACCATATCTCGTTTTCATTGGATCACTTGCGAACTCTGTCCTTTCCCTGACTAAGACTACAAGTCGATCCGATAGAACTGCATCGACTTGACGCATTTTTCTTTTTTTTTCTTTTGCAGGGAACCATAAAATTCTCCGATCTTTCCAATAAAGAAATAAAAAAAAAAACTGTTAAATGGGCCTATTGATGTACTAATTCGAGCTAATTAGTGGGAGCAATCAGTGAACTTTTATTGAACAAGAATAATGACTTTATTACTGATTTCGCAGGGTAAACGAAGCTTCCTTCCAAGCAAAACTTTGGCTGGTGTAATTCCTGTTGTGTTATATGTACAGCTGAGCTATATGCCTTCAGAAATAGCGGGGAATTGCTCATCCCGATCGTCCTGATGCTTGTCAACTACTTTGGAGAGATGCTCCTCGTTTGTCTTGTTGAATCTCTCCGCCATGCCATCTAATTGTGGATGCAATGCCGTGGTTCTAGTCTTGTGAATGCCTAGCAGTGCGCAAAGTTTTGGAATAGTGATTTGAAATTGCGCCCTTGAGAATGTTCCAATGGGATTCCGAATTTAGTAAAAACATTATTGACGAGGACTTTTGCAACTTTAGATGCTTCTTGATTTGGAATATCGAACACTTCAGGCTAGTTGCTGAAATAATCCATGGCAACCAATATATTTTGTTGCCACTCCGCGTAGCAGGAAACTGACCGGCTACGTCTATTGCCATTCGTTCGAAAGGCATCCCCACGTTCTACTGCATCAATTTGTCCTTTAGATCGTGTTTTGGGTCCTTGACTTGCTGCGCATGTGTAGTTCACCCAATAGAATCTGTCACGGATTTTATCCAAGGTCTCCCAAGTGAGCTCCGGATATTCCATTATGAAATTCTTGTAAAACTCGAAGAACTTTTGTCCTAGGCAGGATCAATTGCGTTTTGACGATTTTACCATCTGCACTCTCCCAGGTTCGTTTAAGTAAATCATTCTCGACTAGGAGGGATTTTCATTGAGCTCACAGCGCCTTGCAAGTTAATCTTTTAGGTGATATTTCTTGCAAGGTTGGTATCAATTTCCTGGATTCCTTCAGATTCAGAAATGGCTTGATGTCACTATCTTGTAATTGGTCAATTCTAAGCTGTTCGAAACTCAATTCCTGATGTTTCAAATCGGTGGCTTCTAGCAGAAATTCCTTCACGCTGGTCTATTCTGAGGCAGTGCTTGCATTGAGCTGGGTATTATGCAGTCCACCAGAACGGTGTTTGATTTGAAAATTGTACTGCTGTAATTTCTTGAGCCATCTTGCAACCTGTCTTTCTGGTTGTTTCATGTTTAGAAGCAATTAGAGCGATGCATGGTCTGTTCTTATGAGAAATTCTTGTCCATACAGGTACTTGTGGAAATGGTCTACCGCTCTGACTATTGATAGCAGTTCCTTTCTTGTAACGCAGTAATTTCTCT